AAGGCCTGCCAGGCTGTGCTCAGCAGATTTGTATTCCCAGGGCGGTATATTTTTCAGAAAAGATCCTGTTTTGTTGTGTGAATCTTTGCATCAGAACATTTCCTGTGGTAATTTATCAATTTTTTCTTGGACTGGACTTAGATGTGAATTTTTAAATGAAACTTGCAGTGGCTTTCCATTTTGCTGATTTGTATATTGCATGGAACAGGACTTAATGGATCTGATAAATGCCTCTTTCTGAGGCATCCTTAGCTTGGCAAATAGAGGCCTCTACTAGGTAGCCTCATTCCTAGCATTAGGATTGCTATTTGGTGTGTGTGTTAACAGTATTTTTACCTGTATGGAAGCAGCTTTGCAGGAAGGAGGGAAGAATATACTCAGTGGGAAGCACAGCGCTCAACCGGCCCGACCCTTCTATGGTTGAGGATGGTCTGAGTCCTGGGTGGGTGGATCGAGGCCTTTGAGTCTGCTTTGAGGTGAAGCGGCTTCTGTGTAGGGCTAAAAGCCGGGTTAAGACGGCTCTGTCCTGTCACCTGGGCCTGCCTTGCAGGGCCTCTGAGACAGGTAGCTCTCACAGGCTATCGGCTCTGTTTGCTCAGAACTGGAAAGGTTTGGTCTGAGTTTCTAATTTGTGGCTGACTTTGCTTTTCCAGCAGTGGCTAAATGACAAAACTGGGCAGAATCATTGCAAGCTTTTAAATTTTATTACTGCTCCATTATTCCCAAGATTTGGCAGAAAGAGCATCTGCCTGTCTGTTGAAGGTAGCTGAGGCCAAACTGGCTTGGAGTCTTCTTTCGTAGCATCCTAGTGGGAGCCTGTGGCTGCAACAGACCCAAGTTTTCTTAAGTAGCACGTTGGCATCATCAGCGCAGGCTTAAGGCAGCAGCATTAGTCTTTGAGGAGACTCTGCAAGAGATTTAGCCAGGTAACGTTCAACTACTGAAATAGAGCCACCATTGGGGGGGGAGGGCCCTAGTAAGAGTAGAGCATTTCATCCTGTTCCTCTGGTTTAAGACCGGCTCCTGAGCACCACAGCACCACGTCATCTCCAGTGCAGAGGCAAAGTGGCACACAGCAAGAACAGAAAAAAAAGGTTCTTCCATGGAAGCAAAAGATGCAATCATGGTAATAAATTAGCAGCTAAAATGTTGTTAAGCTTCAGGGGAAAGAACCCCAGCAACCATGGTTGAAAGACTTCCTGTGGCAGAAGCTCTTGGCAGCTTCCCTGTCATTCATCAAGAAGTTCGGAGAAGGAAACTGGTTCCCCTTGAAAGGAGCAAAGGCCGGGGAGAGACCACTTTGTGGAGAACATCAGCTGATTGCCCAACGTAGAGGAAATCTCACAGGGCTTTGCTAGACCGCCTGTGTGGTGGGAAAGGTAGTCACGACAACTTTAGCTCTTGGGGTTGTATCGTGGCCTTTGTCGCTTTCATTACCCTTTTTTCAGGTTCCTGCTTGGCCTTTATTCGCTGCATTCATCCAGGTCTCAGGTGGGACGGCCGGAAGAGCTTGGTACTGTATGTACGGCACTGTACGTACGGTACTGTACGGTACGGCAATGTACTATGGCACTGTATGTACGGCACCATACGTATGGTGCCGTACGTACATACATTGCTGTACTGTACAGTACCATACGTACTGCAATGTACGTACTGTACAGTACGGCAATGTACATATGGGACTGTACGTACGGTACGTACGGCAATGTATGTACTGTATGGTATGGCAATGTATGTACAGTATTGTACATACGGGACTGCAATGTACGTACGGTACTGTACGTATGGTATTATAAGGCACTTTAATTTAAAAATTTATGCCAGGTGGAAATTTATGAAAAATTTTAGCATGAAAGGGAACCTTTTTCCCCTTAGGAAAATTAAACAATAAATCACCCAGCTTTCAATTTATCGCCCGAAGGCTGGCCATAGATAGCGTCCATTCCCCTACATTGTTCTGGAAAAAAATATAATTGTATAAGACAGCAGCTTAGCTTCTATCCTCCCACTCTCTAGAATTTTTAATTTCAGCTGTTTCTGCTTGGATTTATTTCCAATATTCCTGCTTGGCTTTTCAATTTCCTCAGTTATTAAATTTTAATTCAGTGCATTAGCATTTAAATTAAAAAGGGGGTTATTTTATCGAACTCCCTCTCCCTGAAATGGCCCGTTTCTGCCATAGATGTCCCCCCCCCCTCCGAAATGCAGCCAATCTCTTCTAATCTAATGCACATTTGTGCAAATTCATAGGGGGTGGGGTGGGATCCAAGGTTTGAAATAATGCTGTTTTTGAGGAAAGCCTTTTTCTGATTTTTTTTAAAATGGGTAATCTCATAATTTTTATTCTTAAAAAGGCAGGGGGAAATTTAAATTGTAAGTATTTGAAACTGTAGTTTTATTAAAGAGGCTGGGTTTAAAGAAGGGTTTGGACTTTTTGAATTCCAGGGAATGTTCCAGTTTGGCTGGAGGGGGGGGGGAGAACCAATGATTCTACTGATTATGCTGGTGCATTCACAGATTTCTGCCTTTAATGGCACATGAGCTTCCACATAAAAATTATTCTGTTCCAGAAACACTGGAAGTTTTCTGCATAGAATTTTTCCTTGTGGCATGGTTTTCTTCCGTTTTCCTGTTTGTCCAGATGGATCTGTGGGGATGGGGGTGTGGTGGAGAATGTTGCTCTGGAAGATTCCAGAGGCTACAAGGAAACTTGTGTGACTGTCCCTTTGAAGGTCATTGGGGATCCTGTCCTTGGCCCCTGCCTCCTCGACCCGACCTGTCCGCACAATGCAGGCTGTGGAGTCTTGACCCCAGAGTCGCTGGGTACCCCCAACCTGCTCTGCTACTCTGTTGTGGTGGCTGCTGTGGGCAACCTCTCGCGTGGGGCAGGAAGTTCCTGCAGTCCCCTGGTCTTTTGGGGGATCCTAGGAGGAAGAGGGAACGTCTCCAAGCTGAGCTCAGATGCGGGACCTTAGCTGTGCAGCTTTTTTCTTGGCAACAATGCAGAAGTGATTACTTTCAAAATTTTCCCAAATTAATCTTGGTGTTTCCTAGTGGTGACCCAGGTCTACCCTTGCCTACCTATCATAGTTGGTGGTATGTGTGCCTGAATGCAGAAATCACAGCAAAACTAGACAAGGGGCATTTCTTGCTGTTTGGAAGTCAACCTGTGAGACACGGCGGCTGTGAGGTCCCTGTACAATTTCTCTCTTTTCACAAGTAACCTTATCTCCCTGCAGCTTGGCATTGCCTCCCTTTTAGGCAGCCCCAATCAGTTTGCCTCCCTCTGTTGACCTAACAGGTAGCTGGCTCTTCTTCCTTCCTTCCTTCCTTCCTTCCTTCCTTCCTTCCTTCCTTCCTTCCTTCCTTCCTTCCTTCCTTCCTTCCTTCCTTTCCTCCCTCCCTCCCTCCCTCCCTCCCTCCCTCCCTGCCCCACAGCAGGGGAAGTGATTGTGGGGGGGGGGTAGCAGCACATACTCTGGTTTTATCAGGTACTCTCCCTCTCCTCCTCCTTTTCCCTTTGAGAAAGCCATCCATCCAGGAAAGTGATGGAAAGGAAATAAAAGGAAAGAGCATAAAGTTAATCTGTGGAACTCACTGACACAAGATGTAGCGGTGACCACAATCTTGGATGGATTGAAAAGACTGGAAAGATGATTGGAGAAATGTGGGATGGGCTCTTAGGCTGGAGCCCCAGCGATATTTTTGCATTGGGGGGGGCATTCAGGTTGAAATGGAAGGAAGGAGCTGTGGTTCTGAAGCAGGTGGCTTTTCCTAGTTTCCGACATTTTAAAAAGAGGTTTCCTCGGGACTCTGGGGACCGTGTTACGGAAGGCCACTATTTTGGGAGGGAGCGGACATTAATTTGTGTGACGTGTGCTTTGGGTTCATTGCCTTATTCCAAGCCCCTTAAGTGGGCTGCTTCTCCAGAGCTCTGACCTTCCTCTCTGGCTGCTTCCCTTCTAGGCGGAGGGCAGCAGCAGTGGCAGCAGTGGCGGCGGCGGCGGCAGCGGCAATGTTGGGACCAGGGCCTCTGTGGGCAGGTAGGTCCCTCTTGGGAGCACCGGGCGACTTCAGTGCTCTGGACCAGGCCTCGGCTGCCCTTGGAGAAGCTGGAGTTGCCCTCCACCGTTTGCTGTGCTTTGGTCTGGCTGATCTGCTCTGGATGGAGCTTGTGACCTGCGCAAGGCCCGTCAGCTTCTCTGGTGGGAACTCGCCCCCCCCCCCATCTCTCCATGGGGTGGAAATCCACTCCAAATCATGGGACCTTATCCTGTCCCAAACATGACTGAAAAAATAGGGGTTTCCCATTCAAGAGAAAATGAACCTTAAAAGTTGACTGAAAGACTTAAGAGGTTATTTCTGTCTCCCTGGTGCTTCTCTCTATTTTGCTACTTGTTTCCTACTTTACTGTATCTTCTGTCTCTCTCAGCATCTGAAATTAATGTGGTGGTTGTGGTGGTGGGGAGAGTTTGTCAGTAGTTTACTTTTAGGGATCCAAATAATATTTGTTGCTATTCTCTGCCCAGCTTGATGTTTTTCAAAATGTTTGGTAATTCTTTAGAATTAGGTTGTTGGGCATTCAACAATATTGTGAGCTGCTTAAGAGGGGAGTAGCACGTGTTATTAAATTAATTAAACACTCCTTACACTTTGCAGAAGAGGCAACCTTCCTTTTCTGTTGGCCTATGGCTGTGAATCATGGAAGGTGTGGACATTCCCAAGTGAGTCCATCTGAAGAGCATTCAAAAGTTTTTAGTTAACCAAATACAGTGACAAGTCAATTGTTTAGCCTACAAGGCTATTTGTTTTAAAATAACCCCCCCCCCACATCTGTAGAAGTATTTCCCTTATACATAAATTCAGGGCATGTAGAGTCACAAAGCCCTAAGCTGAATAGACAATGTTTTTCCTGGGTGCCTTCAGTAGCTCTTTGAGGCTTAGAGTTCTGTTTTTCTCCCCACCCAAGAGAGCGCTTGAAGAGGACCCAGAAAATTATGAAAGCAGAAGGTTGCGATTCATCCATGCCCCAAGCATCTCCTAGCGAGGATGCCGCAGCAATGACTGAAGTGAAGGTGAAGACGGAAGTCCCAGATGACTATATTCAGGAGGTGGTCTGGCAGGATGACCCAAAAGAACCGAAGAAGAAAGGTGGTGGGGTAGCCGAGGTGCCTGCAGAAATTTGTGTGGTGATTGGTGGGGTCCGCAACCAGCAGACTCTCGGTAAGCTAGGTCGGTGGTCCATTGGCTTAACCTTTTCTTGCCAGGGACGGGTCGTGGTTGTGGAGGGGGAGGGGATTTGAGTTTACTAGCTGTGCCGGCGGGAGGTTGAGGACTAAGGAGGGCTCTTGATTGAGTGTAATTCAAGCAATAAGCATGTAGAGAAACCCTTTGGAAAGAACAGGGCAGGCCCTGCATGCTGGCTAACTGCTGTTTCCAGGTTGAGAAAATAATCAGTCAATCGAGATCTAGTCTATTAATCAGTTAAATTGCATTAACTGTGTTTGCCTTAAAACGGTAAGTGGGGAGAAAACACATTTCCTTTCTGTGAAAATCACAGCAGACCTCATCCCAAAAGAGGCATTCCTTGCTATATGAGAGGAAGAGAAGAGTTTTGAGGCAATGGGAATATATTAGAGGCACATAAAACCTTACATGATGTAGAAAATACAGTTCATCTTCCCTTTTTGACCACATTAAGAATCAAGGTCATCTATTAAACACTAGGCAATTCAGGAGCAACAAAGGAGATGACTCTTGTATCTAATGGGAATGCATTGGCCACGGCTATGCTGACTAGCAACTAATCTGGACACTTTTAAGAAGAAGAAACTAAATAAACAGAGAGCAGGTGTGGGGGTGGGGGCTTGATAGCAGCCTGGTCTTAATGGCCCTAAGCCACCTCATAGGAACCGAGAGCTGGGTTGTTCCAGAGGAGCCCTTTCCCCCACGAGTCCCTTGAAAGTCACTCCAGTTCCTTTCTGGATGAGGAAAAAATAGACAAACGCAAGGCGGTGGGGGCGTGCATGAAAGAATTTGGATAGGCCCGTGTCCTGGAGCAAAGAATTGAGCGGCTCCTCTTTCCTAAAGCCAGGGCGAGGCGGAGAGGCCGCTGAGGAGGGTGTGCTTTCCCTTGGCGCTGCACAAGTGGGAGGGATTTGCAAAAGATCCCGCCACACCGGCAAACGAGAGGAGCTGCTGGGTCTCCCGTGAGCTGCCTCCAAATAGAGGACAGTTGGCACTGCCCAAAGGACAAAAAGAAATATTCTTTTACACAATTAACGTATAGATTTCATTGTTACAAGATACACGTGACATGACCCTCCAGAGGTATTAATCAGCTGCTCTGGAAAACAAAACATGCTTCTTTTTTTCTGGGTGCCTGCAGCCAGGACTTGGGTCTGAATATCTCTTAATGTCCTTCAGCAACAGGACAGTTGCAGGCAGAATAAGAGTAGCAGCTTCATGTTTAAAAGTGGTTCACCTTGGATCCAGTCTCTGTACAGATTCCTGGTGGGTTTGTGTGGACAATATAACACTAGAGTTGAGATGTGTCCAGGAGACATACACGTTTTGGCATTTAAAATTAATACTCTTGGGAATTGGGTAACTCTAGTCCAGGAGAGTTTCCTTCTCTAGCATCTTAGATGATTCTGGGTGCACCTAATTAAAAGATATATTCATGTCTTTTATTTTTTCTTGAAAGAAAAATAACAGCAGAAAAAGTGGAACAAGAGGGAAGGGGGTCCCACTCACACACAACATTTGGAGATGAGGGCAAACGGTTGCTTTGTAGAATTGCTCCCTGTCTTCTTAAAGGAAACAGATGCTGAATTTTTAAGGCAGTAATTTATTTTGGCTGCCACAACTGGAAGGGAGATTTCTGTATCTTTTGTCCTGCACAAAAAGCCTTTCTCACTGGCATTCTCCTGGTAGCCAGAAAGCCTTTGGGTTCCTCTGGGGGAGGGGGAGGGGGGCAGATGGCAGGGGTCAGGGGTCCCCAGCTGAGCCAGGCTTTCTTTTAGTTTAACCTGCCCTGGGACTTTCTGACTCTGCCTTTGTTGGGTGGGCTGGCTAAACATGAGGCCTTGCTTAGGCTGCATTGCTTTCATCCATGGTTGCCATCCTAGATTTTCCTTTTGATAGCTTGGAGAGGAAGGAGCAGGGGTGTGTGTCTGTGTGTGTCTGTGTCTGTGTGTTGGTATGGAGGAAGGTTCTTTTTGCTGCTTGCTTGAGCGCTGCACATGAGCGCCCCCTCCTGCTGCAGTGGTGGAGGTGTGGACCCGTGGTTGGGTGATTTAAAGTTTTGCAAACAGGGTGGCGAATAGAGCTCCCCCCCCTGTATTTTCCAAAGTTTGCTACTCTGTGGTTTATTCCAGAGGAGGCCGTTATGGCCACCCAGGGGCTTTTGAAGAGGGCAGACCCCAGTTTGGGCTCTTAGGGCATGTCAGCAATTGAACCTGGCCGAGGAGGAAGGAGATGGTACTTGATATTACAAATTACTGTCTGTCTCTGTTTACAGCGGCTCCAATGTTTCTGTGTGATCTTTTTTCTTTCAGGGTCCTATGAGTGCGGAATATGCGGAAAGAAATATAAGTACTACAATTGTTTCCAGACCCACGTTCGAGCGCACAGAGGTATTGATCTGTTGTGCACTACTGAGGGATTCTGGGAGTAGTTAAGAACTGTGGGAGGGAAGAATTGTTCCTGAGATACTGTTTGCATTCACAAATTGGGGTTTCCAGGATTTTGTCCAGTCACAGCCGTGCTTGAATGTCACAGTCAGATTGATATCTTTAGGCAAATCAGAGAAATGTGCTACAGATTATTGAATTTAGTATCCATTCAGAATACTCAACAAAATAACCGTGTGTGTGTATGGGGAGGGGAGGCAGAAGACACGAGGCAGCTTTAATTGAATCAGTCACACATTGTATGTTCACGGAGGGGTTTACGTTGCACCTCTGAGTGCTGCAAGAACGGCTGTTGCTCCCCCTCCTCTGCCAGCATAAAGCCAGCAGTGACTTGGATGGGCCTCCAGCCCTTAAGGGGATGCCTGTAACCCCTTCAATGGGTGAGGCCTTCATGCTTCAGGCCTCTCATAATGCACAGCTTCACTTCTCTTGGCTGTCTGCTTCACTGCAGAAGGTTAAATGCCACCGGGGACAGAAAGACCCCCATCTCCCCCCACCCCCAAACTGTACATCCTAAAAGTCAACATGTTGCAATGAGACATGAGGCTCTGCCACCTTCATGCGCCAAATTTCAAATCAATGACACAGATTTACCTGGCCTATTTTGCGTAATTCTACCTTTTCTTCTGGGTTTGCCTGTCGTGAAGGGGGGGGGATTTGGATGGCAACCGGTGCGCCCTTGGAACTGTACTGACAAGTGAGGGGCTCTGCCCGAGATGAGGATCTTCAGGCTATTTTGTCTCAAACAGACACGTTTCTTTGGCATCAGATCTGGGAAGGAGGCCTTTCGACCTCAAGCCTGTAAACAGAGACGAGGATGGGAGGGTGCTTATTCCTGGGAATACATTCTCAATGCGGTTCTTCTCTTCGCTTAGACACAGAAGCAGCATCAGGCGAAGGAGCCTCCCCTGGGAGTAAGTATCGGCACGCTTCTTGAGTAGTGTGGAGTGATGCTTTGCGAGCAAAAGGTCCCGGTTCCAGGTTCTGGAAAAGGAGAGGGAAGCCCTCTGTGTGCCCAGGAGACCAGAGAGCTGCTGCCAGTCAGGGTCCCGAGGGGTCGGCTGTCGCCACTCTGCTGCGGAGAAGCCTTGAGGGGCCAGTGGGGAACACCCCCCTCTCGCTGCCAGTTGGCCGTGCTGTGGCACCATGTGCTGGTGAAGAAGAGGCCCCATCATTTGGCAGCTTTGTCTCGTTTTGCCCCCATGCCTGCTCTCTTTGCTTTTTATTTTTTGCTAAATTGTTTTCCGCATTGGAAAAAATACTCTAACAAAGGAAGGAAACAATCTTGTTAATTGGGATATCGTGAAGCCGGTGGTCTAGCTTTCCTTACTTTGGATCCTTTGATCCATCTGAATACTGTTAGGGATGGGTATCACCCCAAGGATGGGGGTGTGTGTGTCTCTATCACTGTATTTCCCCCCCCCCCCCCGTATCAAAACAGAACAAGAAAAATGCTGCTTTCCTTGATTTGGAACTTGATTTTCTCTCCTCCAAAACTCCTTGGTGCCAAAAGTTTTGAAATCCGCAAGAGATTTTGAGTCCCCAAGACGGTTCCATCCTTTGCTCAAGATCAGTGCTTTCAGGGCCTTTGTTGGGATTGAGGTGCGCTAAAGGCAGAGAGCGGCCGGAGGCGAGAGTGTTGGTCAAAAGCTGGTAGAGGGTCTGTGCATGGGGAAGCCATCCTGGGTTCTCCTTGGAGTTTCTCGAACATTGTGCTCTTTCCTCCCCACAGATAACTTTAGGTACACGTGTGACATTTGTGGGAAGAAGTACAAATACTACAGTTGCTTCCAAGAGCACAGAGACCTGCATGCAGTGGATGGTGAGTGTCAATGTCTGGATCGCTTGCCGAGAAGAGGAGGGTCTTCGTTCTTACAGAATGCTAAGCAGGAGCCCAGTCAGCCTTCGCTCCCACCCTCCAAATGAAGTTGCAGGAGTTGGGAAATATTAATGGCTAAGCTCAAACAGCGGCTGATCAGAACAACCCAGGATTACCATTTAACCCTGGTGTTTCCAGAAAATCTTAACTTAAGCCAAATGGGGCTTGAATGTAAGAGTTGCTCAAAGAAAGGAGTAGAGCTTCCCACCTGCTCCCAAGGAAAGGAAAAGGAGGCAAGGGGGCAGGCAAGCCTGCAGGCTCCCACGCCCGTTCTCAGGACCTTTAGTTATTGCTTAGAGCTTTTAGTAGGTAACCCAGGCCTGCATTTTATGGAAAGAAATTGGGGAGGGGAGCTCTTGTGTAGGACTGTTGACACCAGTGTGTGGTGCAAAAGAACAAAATCCAAGGGAGACCATTAGAATTTTGTTGTTGTTGTTATTGTGTGTGTTTATCTATATGTACCCAGCTAGTTTAGAGGCATAATACCATACAACTTTTGGCAATAAAGTTGCCACCAATAGAAACGTCTGGCTAAATGATTGCAACACTTTAGGAAGACTTGGACGGAGGAGCATTTGGGCGAATGCTCAGTGGGTGGAGGATGGAGCTGTAGCGGTCAGGCCGGAAGCCCTGCCTTGTGGCAGTCTCGAGCCCCTGCAGGTGTGTGTGTGCAGGGATTAATCTATTCAGTTGGGAGTTAGAATGTCTGTTTGGTTGATAGGGAGAGTCTCGGGGCATCTTGGTATATAGGTAGGCTAGTTGTGTTGTTTTTTGGAACTGTTCTGACTCTTGTAAGAATGACTGCAGTTCTTTGCAATTAAGTTGCACTTTAAAAAGAAATAGTGCAAATTTTATATCTTGAATTGGATACATGAAGCTTACAATTAGTCACTTTAATAAAAGCAGATTATCAAGAAAAATATAATCACTAAAAATACTATACATGTGTAAAATGTACATTAGTCTATACAAATCATTACCACAATAGCATGTTGGTTCTTTTATTGTTCTTTTTGTGTATACTCTGTTCGGTGTTTTCCTGCCCAAGTTTTTAAAAAGTGTTTAGAAAGCTTCAGAGAGGAGCGAGCTAAAGTGTTGCTTGTGTTGACTTTATCAAGCTTCTTCCTCTCTTGCTGCCAATTCTGCGGAAGGTGAGGGCGGAGGAGAGCAGGGCTCCCTCTCGAGGGCCTGAAGCCAGGGAGGCGTCTCCCCCTGCCTCGATCAGCTCCCCCCTCCTTCTCTCCCCTTGCAGACCCCTACGACCAAGCAATGATTGCCAAGGAGGAGGTGAAAGAAGAGGAGCCCGAGCCCTTTCAGAAGATTGGTCCAAGTATGATTTACCGAGTTTGCAACTGAAGTAATTCTGGCTTTCAGTGTCTCGGAGCTGAGGTTTCAGGCCAGGGACGGAGCGGTTCCCGCAGAGGCAGGAAGCTCTCACTTGTCCAGCAGAAAGAGCACGTCCTCTGCCTGTGCGGGACCCCCGCTTCCCTTGGCGTGGCTGGTGACAGACCGGAAAATCTTCCTTGGATGTATCTTTCATTGGGGTTCGTTTAAGAAGCACCAACAGCAACTCCTGGGTTTCCCAAGGCGGAATGGCTCCCAGCGTGCCTGAAAGCTACTTGGTGTCAGGTCTGCTCGTTGGTCTGTCTGTCCTACAATTATCGGCACTGACTGGCTGCAGGGCTCTGAACATCCGTTCAGGCAGAGGGGTTTTTCCAAGCCCTTCCCTGGAAATGCAGGGGTGAACCTGGACCTTTTGCACGCAAAGCAACGGCTCTGACTCGGACTGTGGCCGTTCGGCAGGAGACAAGCAACCTGCTTGCAAATAGCGCCGCTAAGTAAACAGAAAATTAATCTTCCACGTTCGAGTGAGAGAAGAAACAAACACGTTGATTTGGGGAATTATAAAAATATTCTTGCTTAATGTTACATACTTTTATAAGCATCTGGTTAAAAACAATCCAATTTGCCCAAAGTATTTACATGTAAATATTTTATTGCAAAGAGAAGGAATTAAGTGCATGTTATTTATTTTAATCATTAGATTCAGACATATGCAAAACATTACTTGCAAAACATTCCACTTGCATTTCCCATGACTTAATTTTAGAATTCACAAAGCTCTTCATTAAAGGGGAAGATATTGTCTAAGTATTGTCCTCTGGGATAAAAAAAAGTCAGTTACAATTTTTGCAGTGTTCTAATGCGACTGCTACTGCATTCCTTATTATGTTACCAACTTTTCTTCCGGAATAGGGGGAAATTGAGGGTGGGGAGCAATATTAAAACTAGAAATTCATCTTGATGTAAGATGATAACTACCCCTTGCAAGCGCTGATGAGAGAGCGGCTCGGCCTTTCCTGTCTGCCATGGTTTATACAGCCCACTCCCAAATGCTGCTTCTGCAAAAGGGAGATTACGGGTCTTGCCTCTGTAGCAGCCATGTCTTTTCAGCCTCTCCCCAGGAAGGAGAGGAAGCAATTGCCACAAAGGGGGGGGGGGCGCGCCCAGAGGCCCATTTGGTCAGGAGAGCTCGGGACTCACCTTGCGAGGCCACGTGGGGAATGTCCACCCTACTGTGCTCTAAATTGAGATCCATGTTTGTTTGGGTCAAGGGTTTTGGGGAAAATCTTTTCTCCTTCCGAAAATTGTTCTCTTGCTTTGCAGAAACAGGCAACTATACCTGCGAATTCTGTGGCAAGCAGTACAAGTACTACACACCATACCAGGAACACGTGGCCCTTCACGCACCAATCAGTGAGTATCCAGCTGTGACATGGCAGCAGGGGAGAGCCTGGGATCCAGGATCTTTCAAGGCAGAGGCCGGACAGGCAGAGGCCAGATGTGCAACCCAAGTGATCATGAGAGACAGACCAGGACTAGCATATCTTCCTGATAGCTATACTTTTGGGATATATTTTGAGAAAAGGAGTTGTTCTTATTTCAGGCCAGATTACCTATAATTGTTAATACTATTCTATAAATGAAATTACACCTGTATCTTGCAGCTTACACATTTTTTACAATGTAGATTTTTCAGCTGGACCCACCACCGCTTATGGCTTATATAACATGTTGTAGCTGTTTCTCTCAGTAAACTGAACTATTCAAAAGTGGGGGAACCCCATCTGCTTACTTGGTAGCCCTCAAGGCATTCCTTGCAGGGCTGGTTCCTCTGCAGGGGTTCCCAGAAAAGTGGCTGAGCTGACTGCCCCCTCTCCTCCACCACCACCTCCCCATGGACGCAACCCAGGGTGCTTTGCCCTCTGGATCTCCATCTGCAGACTTGGCACACTTGTTCAGTTAAAACCTGCTAGAATTTTGCTTTCAATGTGACCGGTCGAAAGCCCCAGAGGCATCCTTCAGCTCAAGCATCTAGCTCTCATTGCCCCAGGCAATACGTAGCCCCAGGCACAACTGGTCACCTCCAACCCCTTTTCAATCTAATGAGGTTGGTGGCCATCACCTCACCCAACAAGCAAATTCTGCACGTTGACGTTCATTTCCTTAGGGAAGACTTTCTTTGGCCTGTCCTGAACTGTTGGGGCCACTGTTTTGAGAGGGAGAAGGGCACCTTCCCCTTCATGTCTGCACCTCAGCACGTTGCCCCTTTTCTAGCCTGAATTGCCCGGCCTTGTAATCTGGGGTTTTTTTAGGCAAGCGCTGCCTTCACAGGCTTCTTACGCGGATCGGTGGTGTCAAATTCAATGCCTCCTTTGGTCTTCTTACACTGTGGAGAAGATCGCCTGTAGCCTTCCAGAGCCATCTAATCAGGGAGATGGATGGCATATAAATGCAATAAAGAAATAGTTACTTGCCTTGATTGAGACTCACTTGATAGAGTTTATTGTGCCCATAGGTTACTCATCCTAAGTCATTCCAGGTGGACTTTTGGAGGTTGACCACCTCCTGGCCTGGAGGTCCTCATTAGCTCTCTTGACCAACGGCCATGGACAGGCAAATGATGTGAAGAAGCCTCTTCTTCCTCTCGTCCTGCGACGTCTATCAGGCTTTCCAGGTTGCCCTAGTGCAGGTAGAGGGAGAACAGCTTTGTGCTCTGTTCTCTGTGTTGTTTTTTTCCTGAACAGCCCCCCCCTCCATTGGGTCCCTTTCCCCCAAAGTACAGTCCAGGTGTTGTCAGTGGCACTTTAGGATTGCAGGCAAGTCTTCCCCCCCCCCCCAATTTTCCTAATGGTTGCAATGTCAGATTGGTGCAAAGCCTTTGCTGGAGCCCTTTTGTTCAGCAGCAGGAGGGATGTGAGAGGCAGCAGTGACTGGGCTGGCCGCCCTCCTCACTTGCCCTGCTCTTCCGCCTTGCAAAAGGCAGGCATTCTAGGCAGTGTGTCCAAAAATAGTGTTGTTGCGTTGTTTACACTGATACTTTCCACCCAGTCTATGGTTTGAAGGAATTAGGGCATCTCCAGTAGCTTGTTAAAAATAAAGAACAAATACCATCACAAGGTGAATTTGTACTTGTCTTTTATTTATGGTTTCTTTGGGAGGGGGAATTATGATGCAATGGGTAAGGGTCTGATTAGAATCCAGATCGTATTGCAGAGTGATTGTTCTGGGGGGGAAATTGGATGAGACAGCACTATCGATGTAGCCTTAAGATGCTGGCATAAAGGAAAGATATAAACAACTGAATAGAGTACTAAATAATGTTTTGAAGTGTAGAATGTTACACATTGTATTTTTTTATTTTCATCATATGTGCGTGCCTTGATTGGAGCAATGAAAGATAGAATAATGAAATGAAAATGTTCCTGTGTGCTTGCCTTCTATGCTAGCTCTTATTTAGATGTGGCAATAAATGGAGACTTTTCCTGTAAGTTCCTAATTATACATCCATATATTTAAATTTCAGGCAAACAGAATTAAAGATTTGGTTCAGACAAACTGTAGGAAAGGTAGATGGATGACAGACAGACAGAAACTGACTTCCATAATATTGGGTCGTGAGAATTCCTTGCGATTCTCCCACAATGGTCTTCCTCCTCCCCAGTTCAGGTGTCTGATTGATGGGACCTCAAAGGACTGAGTTGGCACAGAGAAAGTTGTTGTTTTCTAGATGGGGACAGAGAGAAGCCAGATTTTTTAGGATTTCCATGGTTTGGACAAAACTTAGCAGCACTTTTTCGTGCGGCTGCTGATAAAAACAGGATTGCCAACAGGATCGCCAATGTCCGATAACGGATATGGCACAAGAAGAAGAAGAAAGAAATCTAATTCTTTGTGGTCAACTGTATATTGAAGATGAATGTGCATAGATTTGAATTGGATGGTTTCGAACAAAAACACTTTCTTTAGTTCTTTTTGTGATTGTACATCACAGCAAGCCCATGTCTCAAGATAACATTCCCCTTGTGAGAGAGACCTCTTGTCAGGTGTGATGTTGTGTACTTTTCTACTGAAAGCGGTGCCTTTAGGCAGCTGTTTTAGCATAGTAAGAACATGTTTAATTTCTTTATTTTACCAGTTAATTAACGCATAGGCTGGTATGGTAAGTTTTGAGCTTCTTGAACAGTGGAAGGTGAGAGAGCCCCCCTCAAAGGGTGCCTGCCCCCTTTGCCAGAAGGTCTTGTGGGGATCAGGCAGGGCCTCTGCAGGTGACATTAAAGCTGACCAAAATTGGAGAAGCCAGAAATTCAAACCCCTTGTGTCATGCTTGAAAATTTATAGCCGGGGGGGGGGCTGCATTGGGGCTCAGTTTCTGAAAGGCTTTGGGTAGGGGGAGCATGGACCTCTTGTAGTGCCCCGGCAGAGGTAGGTTCTGGGCACTGACTTGTCTATCCGGCACTAGTTCTGAGTGTTCATATCCAGAGTACTCTCGATCTCCACTCTTCGTGGCTGTGAAGACCCAGGCGAGCCAATCGGGCAAAAAAACACCGACGGCGCCCATAATCCGGTGCTCCACCCTCCTCCACCGCACTCCCTCCGGTATCCCACCGGCAGCATCCCAGTCACAGACGTTCCGCGCTCCAAATTCTGGATCCCCAGGAAGCAAGGCCACCACAGGTACCGATTGTGCTTTCTACCATCTCAATTGACTAACCCCCCCAACTGCCTGTGTGTCCCCAGGCCCCAAAGGGATGGCACCGGTGGTTCCCGAGGAGGTGTGACCCTTTATGAGGGGATCAGGGCCCCCAAGAAGCCCCCGAGGGTCCCACGAGTCCCCAGACAGCCTGGCTGAAAACATCTTTTAGGAATACAGGCAAGGGGTGAGGAGCAGACTGAAGAAAAAGGATCTAATTGAGTGAGGAAGATGAGTGGTAATATTTCATGAGTTTATAGAGATCTAACATTGAAGTTATTTTGATACCAACTTAGTATTATTTTTATTGGAAAAAAGGAACAAAATACTGTTGGATTTCCTTTTAGTTTAGTGTTTTGTATTTTTTTAAAAATATGAACAACCTAAGAATTTGATAAATCTTGAATGCCATTTTATAATGTTCAACTGAAGGCATATATTGTAGATTATGGATTTTTTTATATGTATATATTTTTTTACTGGCCTTTTTGTCTACCTGTTTAGGAAAGGCACTATGTGCTTGTATTTAGTATTGTTTCAAAAGCCTTTTTGGCCCTCCGTGTCCCACCAAACCTCTTTCCCGCAGACCCATCCTGAGTTGGTGGCATTCAGAAGGTTTCAGAGCTTTGGAATGGCAGAAGAAGGAAGGGAGGACGGGGCTGGGTGAGGATGGCTTGGTCCTCTGCTCTGCTCCCTGGACGTGAGAGTGGCGGCCGTTGCCATTTGGGGGCTGGAGGGCCGGGAAAGGCCTTTTCCCTTGTTCAAGATGCTCCTTCAGCGACTGGGCCAGGAGGAGCAGGCAGGCTTTGGGGGAGGGATCTCTTTGGGGGGTTCCCCTGGTGGGCAGAGCAGAACAAAACAAAACAGAGGGAACTCTTTGTGGTACGGGGAGAGGTCGCTGTCCCTGGGATTCAAAGCCTTCTCCTCTCTTGGCTGGTAAGAGATCGAGACGGGTGAGAGCCTCTCTCAGCGTTTCTGCCTGGGCCCTGGACTCTTCCCCTACTCGCTGCTGCTGCTGCTGAGCCTCCTGCGCTGGATCACGGCTGGCCTCTTAGCTGGCTAACCGGGCGCTTTCTGGAAACGGCCTGCCCTTCTGCAGGGAGTGTGCTGGGCTGCTTTCCAAGGAGGTGGCCTTGGGGAAACCTAGGGAAGGAGCAGGCTTGGGGGGGGGAGGTAAGGAGGCAACATCGTGGGTGGTGGGCAATCGTACAGGGGAAGGGGTGATGAGTGTCTGGAGGGACAGTAATTATACCAGAGAAGCCCCGAATATCTCCAAGCACCTGGTGCCTTAAATGCGAAGACTCTTTCCTGACCGAAGCAATAAAGAGAGAGTCACCTGCCGCACCTCGTGACTGTAGCCTTCGGATGCTGCAAGCTGAGCATGGGAGTGAGACAGTGTGTAGTCGTGCACCTCACAGCATTGTGAGCACTGGGATGTAAGTTTGTTTTGGAAGAAGAGTGAGTCTCCTGGGCAGCCTCTGCTGAGGGGCCCCTGCAGCCTCACCCGGAGTGAGTGTTGCCTTGGGAAGGGTTGTGAGCAAACACTTTTGAGCCTCCGGATTTGTCTGATTAGCCATTCCGATAGCCTACTTGCCTTGAAGAACACTCAGCTCTGTGGCAATTCCTTCCGCCTGCTCAGTTTCACAATTGCCTTAAAGGAGAGCCGCTTCCTTTGGCCTCCTGGAGCCATTGCTAGTTTGGTTCCTTTGAACACAGGACCTTAAAACGCTAGGAGACACTTTGCTCTCAATGCAGCCCCTCCCCATCTGTGGCCATTCACCACGTGAGGAAGACTCTGGTATGACGATGTCACAGCAATACTTGGTGTGTTTGTAGACAGGCAAGTGATTTGGGCTGGTTGAGATACTCAAATTATTTAAAAGATTTCTTTCTATGTCCAGCTGAGTGTGAACCAAATGTTTCCAGAAATGCGTACTTCTTTGGGGGGTGGGTGAAGGGGGAGATGGCTTTTGCCTGCTTTTGTGCCTAGGACACGGTTATGAATTGCATCAAACTGCAGTCCATTGTTTCTTCCTCAGGACTGAGAGAACATTTAAATATTTACCTGTTTAATTTTATTATACTTTTAATCCTCTCAATAATGAGAATCACCTGGATTTATGGCAACTGAACAAATCGAGACACACTACAAAAGCAGAGTACAACGTTGAATTTGCAACGAAGCCCAGGCTGCAACGGGTTGGGATGGGACGGTCTCCGTGTCTGGCCAGAGCCAGCAGGTCTGCACCGTTTGGGCTGTGTGTTTCCAGAGAGCACAACTGCACAAGCAGTTCAGGGTTGCTTATGTGGGCTGTGCCGTCCTTGAAGGTAAAGCAGGGTTGGGGTAGTGATGCACAGTGTTTACCAGGTTGTTCAAGTAAAAAAACGGTGAACAGAGAATGAAAAACAATTTTTTTAAAATCTATTATTGTTTTATTTTCAGTAAAATTGCACAAATTGCACGTTGTTGTAAAATGATAGGCCATCATTTCATTTGCATCTGAACCCAACCCTGCTTGGGTTCAGGCTACCCAAGTAGGGTTCCTCCAGCTGGTCCTTGCGTTTGGCATAATGTCTTTAGCAGCCCAAGAGAGAACCTTCTCTGCTTTTCCTGCTCCCCACCTGACGGGTCTGCTCGAGATCAATGCTCACCAGCCCCTTTCTGTCTTTCCTTATTCTCCCACCCAGCAGAAAGCGCTTTCAGTCGAAGAGTGGAAAGCAAACTGCAAAACAACTTTGAAGAAACTAACAGCAGCTCCCAGAACTCCAGTGGTGAGTACCAGCGTTGTGCAGTGTTGCAAATGCCCCCTTTCCCCCCCCCCAGGACAAGCAAAGAGGAGGATCTGGGTCTGGACTTAAAGGACAACAGGTGGTCAAGGAGGGACATGCCTAGTTCCTTGGTGTTTCCTGCCCCTGTCAGTTGGGGTGTGAAGGACTTTCTCTCTTTCTTGACCTGGCCAACTGCCAGCTCTGTGGCTTTATTAAACTTGGATGCTGCCAACTCTCAATGACTCTGAGCAGCTCACTATTATTAAAAGAGATATCGATAAAATCAACGCAACATAAAAAATAAAGATAAAATACAGCAACCTAGATGAGGGGTCTTAAGATTACCTTTCCGAAGGCCTGGGTGAAGAACCAGATCTTCACAGCTCTTCTAAAAACAGCAGAATGGGGGTCATCCAGATCTTGGGGACAACCTCATTCCAGAGGGCCCGTGTGTAGAAAAAAGCACAGTGGAAGGCTTTGTGTCTGTTGCAGCGGGGGAGGGGAGATCCTACTTTGTGGGTCTGTCTCAGGTTGGGTTATGGCTGAATCAGACTGTAGTCTCTCCGGCTGGAGATGTTCTATCGTGTGGAGTCGGCTGGTGAGCCCTCTGGCTGATAATGGTAACCTGTGCATGTTCTGCAAATTGGGGAGAAGCCAATTAGGAAACGGGAGAGAAGGCTGGTAGAAACTTTTGGTGGTGGGGGGGGGGGGAGAAAATGGCATCTCCCTGTGAGGGAGAGAGAAGAGGTGGCCCTGCAGCCTGCCATAAACATATAACACAGAATAACAGAGTTGGAAGGGACCTTGGAGGTCATCTAGTCCAATTCCCGTTAGACTCCCAAAATCATTAGAACAAAGCCAGTTCTTTCATAACGAACTCTTCTGATCCATTTGCAGTAGACTGTGCAATAGACCATTAGCAGTGGTGCTTGAAATGAAGTGACATATGATCTGATCTCACTAAAGGGAATTCTGATATTTTTAATTAATTAAACTAGTTATATTTTCTCCTCAATAAAGTCTAGGGATCAGATCATAGCTTCCTTGTTTATAAACGGTATATACTCAGAAAAAACTGTTCTGTCGAAAGCATGAGCGTTGCAAAGAGAAAAGTCTCTTTAGAAACAGAAGCGTCTCCAGCTCAGCTCTCTTGACAGAAGCGGGATGCACTCGGACATCATGGGAGGAATTGCAGGAAAGACGGGACTGTCCAGCGGTGAAGCCTCACCTGCATTTTTTATTTATTTTTTTTGCATTTCTGGGAATCACCTGCGCTGAAACCTCTCCTCAATGGACTGTTAGTAGTGGAGACAGCGGCTGGGTGGCTGTGAGAGGGAAGAAAATCTTTTAAATTGATTTGTTAACTAAATGCTGCAACCTTAGATTTAAATTTCCTAAGAAATTAAAAACCATCTTTTTATGTGGCCATCTTTTTTGAGTTTCAAGTGATTTCTGCAAAAGCAGCTGTAATGTGAGCTAGAGGTGAAATACATTAAACAGACCCTTTTTTGTTAAATCTACACAAATTTGGTGTGCACATTGCACATGTCTGAGCAACATCTGTATTATTTTCTCTTGGTGCTGTACATCTGGATCATCTTATTTTTTTAATCAAGAAATCATGAAGTAGGTGAGCAGTGACTCATGACCCCCAAAAGTGCAGGTGGAGATGAGGAAGACTCAGAGGACGGTCTCTCTGCCTGGTGTGGGCACTCTGCCTCCCTTGAGGATGCACCCCTGTTTATAACGTGGGGAAGAAGGAAGAGAGGGCAGCCAAAAACTCCTTTGTCCCAGAGGGGGAGGTCGTAGGGAAATGAAGAACAGGGAAAGGCATTGTGATTGTTGTGATTCACAGGTGGGTCCCCAGGAATGCTCCGAAGTCTGTGTTTGGTGGAAGCCCTGCCCCATTCCAGGTGGGCGCTCCCCACCTGTCCTCAGTTCTCAGCTGGATCACCACCACAGTTTCTCATTCCGTTCATTGCTTTTTGGCTCGTACCGCTTGGTCAATGGTTTTCAAAAGTTCCTGCAGCACAGCGCTCAGTTTCCGTCTCTCTGCGCCGGGTGCTTTGGCTTCAAGGGCACAGAGTCGGCACACACGCTCCCTATCGTGACCCAGGGAGGCCCGGTCACCTTGAGATCCTGGGTGCCGCTGGTGTCTTTATGGAAGGAAGCTTTTGCTGCAGCAACTTCCATTACTCAGTTGGCCCCAGAGACCTGAGCGTCCACTTTGCATCCCGTCTTTGGAAGGTCAGGAAAGAGCAGCCGCAACAGATGAGGCTGAGATGGGTGCATGCTGCTTTCTAGCAGGACACCTGTGATGCATGCAGAGGGCCTTTGTTGCTACCGAAGGACAAATAGACACTTCCCGAATGATACGGGGGACAGGAAGGTGACAGTCAGACACTCCTTTCTGGAATGCAGATTCAAATGGGGACATAGTGGAACTTGATATACGCTATCCATCTACTCTACTCTGTTCAGTTTTGTAGTCCTCTGCATTAGGAGAAGCTTCTTACAATACATAATAGTCTCTTGCTTGGCTGCGGGAGATCTTCGGGCATGGAGCAGACGTCTCAGCAGCTTTGTTGCCCTCCACAGTAGTAACGATGCTGTCCATAGCATTAAGCAGAAGACAGCAGCTTGCATGGCTTGGTAAGAAGGCTGTGTTTCTTCACAGTGAATGTGTGCCACAGTTGTGCAATTTGCTGGCCCAAACGGTGTGTTGTGGCCGTTGGCTTAGGGCTTTGGAACCAGTAGACCAAGGTGGCCTAGTTGGGGCCTTTTCTACACATTTGTCAAAGATTCTTGGCAGAGTTCTTTGAAAAAAGCTGCTTAAAGTCATCTGAATCACGAGATAGGGGCAAATAAATTTGTTAAAATAAAACCAGTCACTTCGTATAAAGTGCACAGTTCCTTGGTGGTTTGGGTTCCTTATTGCTCTTAGGTCCCCAGTGTTGTGCTTGCATTACTCATGGGGTGACTTGGGACTGGCAGGCTATTAGGGCTGCTGCACCTGCTGCTTGACCAGAGCACGTAGAATAGCCTCCCAAAAGCTGCTCAGTGGCAGTCTTGGAGTGACTAACCCTTGGCCAGGCTCGCAGCCACACCCTTTGCAAGGCCTGGTGCTGCCCCGTCCCCTTTTGTAGATTTTGCCCCAGTCCCCAAATGAGGAAGCAGCAGGGGAGATGGGAGGGGCTCACCTTGGTTTCAATGTCTGCATCTCTTTTCTTTTTTGCAGAAACCGCCAGTCCTCTGGTTTCAAATCCTTTACCGCTTTTGCAAAGTAAGTGTGATGGACGTCCACACTGCCGTGTCCAGGGGGGTGCACGCACACAGCTCCTCTTAAATCGCCCCTTTCCCACCCAATACCCACCAGAGCCTTTGGCCAATTCAGGTCATTTCAGCTTAAGTTACTGGTTCAGCTTGAGTGTTTTTTTACCATCAGCAACCTTGGCTGATCAGAGCTCTCTCTTGGGGTCAGCAATGTCCACCCTGCCCCTCTCTGTTCAGCCACGGGCTTCCAGGTCCGGCCTCTCCCCTCCCGCTCAGAAGCAGTGGACTCGGCAGCAGTGGGGCCGCCTCCCAAGAGGCTGCGTTGCCCCCTGCGGTCTGCGCTTGAATAGGGCCAGCCTTTCGCCAGCATCGTTTGGGGGACGCTATGTGAAGGGAGTCGTGCTAGTTGGCAGGAGGTCCCGGGACAGAGAGTGGGAAGCGTAGTCTGGATCCGCTGCTGATCGGCACCTTTTTGCCCTGCCTGCCTGCCTTCTGTTGGGCTGGGATCCACTTTGGAAAAGGTTGCCCGCTGCCCAGCTGTGGTGCCTGTTTTTCCTGGTTGCTCGCCAGCAGCCCCGTCTCAAAACCCCAAAGCAAAGACTGATGCTTTCGCTGGGATGTCCTCAGAGGCAGATGCCCATCTGGCCACAAGGGTGACCTCAGGTGTTCTTATGCAGCTGGACAGCGGTCATAAATGGACATAAAGTTCAGGGGCGAGGTTGGTGTCTGAGGATTGGAAGAAGTGTCATCTTGGTGCTCTGCTCCGTGCTCACCTGCAGATCAGACTTTGCGTTCTCCCCTCTGGGTTTGTCCTGTTTTACCCCATGAGGACTTACACTTGTTGACCAGATTTCGGTGCTGTCAATCTTAACCGTGGATACAATTGTTCCCCTTAATATAGCCTCGGTTGGCATTTTAGTGCTAAGTCTTTGCAGTTTATCTTAAGGACTTACTAAGTCCTAAATCTTTTTCATTCTAATTATAGTCTTAATTATTACTCTCTTGTGTTGGGCATTTTTTTACCCCTCTGCATAATGCTTTAGATTTAAGTCTGTTGGAGTTGTTTTCTCTTATTCTTACTGTGGTTTCCTTGGCATACATCACCTTTACAGAATAGGAAAAATGGCAGAAATATTGCAATCATGATCCGGATAATAGAAGACTGGCCCAGGAAGAAATGTCTAAGCATAAAATGGCAGGTAGAATGGAAATGTGCACAACTGCATTGAGTTGACTGCTATTGGTGCAGAAATAACCAGAGCTCTAGGTCGATTTAAAAGAAGGCTTAGCCACCCACGGAGGAGGAGACATCAGGCCAAAACCGAGAGACCACATGCTGGTTGGGGGCCAGCATCAGGACTCACTGTCTGACTTGAGGAAGTGCCGCACTCAGTGGGTTTTTGGCATGATTCAGTATGGCTTCCGGAAGAGTACATGGGGATGCCCTAGAGGTGTTTGGGGGGGGGGGGGT